GCCAAAATATCTTACTCTGTTTTTACTGATTAAATTTTCACTTTCTTTTTTAATGAAATAGTTCCACACTCGCACGAGAAATCAAACCGGTTTGTTATCTATCACTTTCGTTTATGTTTATTCTTTCCTAGCAACATGTAAAAATAATTATTGTAAAAACAATATTGGTACAAGAACTTATAGAATTCGAAGTTCTAGTTTTTTTTTTCCTGGTTGGTTCGATTCCAAAATTGATTCTTGGATATTATAATTTATTTTTCACGTATTGTAGGTAAATAATACTGATAACGATACTTCGAAAGTAACTGATCAAATGAATTCACGTGATTATTTCATTTAAAAAAAATTTTTAAATAAATAGATACCCGCGTCACAAAACAATTTTTTATTTTGTACTTTCAAAAAAAAAATTTTTTTATTTTATGAATGTCCGATTTCGTGTATCACCTGTATCATTTCACATTGTCAATAATAATAGTTTATTATAAAATCAAAAAGTTCAAAAAATCCAAATGCTTTCTTATGCGAAACTCTAAAATCTAATTGATGTTCGATAGACTAAAAATTCAGGCATTGAAAATGCTTATTCCGAATTTCTGAATGACTATTGGAAATGGTCTATAACTTTTTCCGTGAGATTTTTGATATTCAAGAAGGAATTCTGAACCTAGTTAAAAAAAAAAAAGTTTCAAGCTAAGAGATACTTCGCACAACCTGATTTATTTCATTTCTCCAAATTTTCACGATACATTCATTTATTAATGTCATAATAATACTCGTTTAAAAAATTTTTAATTATTTTTTATTAATATAATCAATCCATTATGCAAGAAAATTAGTAAGCTGTATTGAAATCATAAATTAATTTTTGATATAACAAGCAAGAAAATTGAAGTTTAACTTGATCATCATCTATTTATATCGATCTGTTACCTATATAATTAATTATTCTTCTTCTGAATACTTGAATTTTTTCAATATATATTCCGGTTTGTTAGTGCGCCATTTAAAACTTTAAATTTCCTCTTGTCGATGATTTCTTTTGCTCGGCTATAAGCAATATCATCTATTGTTACTAAATTTTCCAGGTTGAAGGATCAACTTTACCATGACTCAAAATGAAATTTTGTGGTTGTGAAAATACTCATTGCTCGCAGATTTATCCCGTTCAAGTTGGAATTGATTTTATGTGAAAAGTTTCTTTTTCCACCTTTACTTTGATTGGATTTTTATTACGATCTTCATTCGAGAAAGGAGTCCCCATTTGCTTGCAGATGGTCCATTACACAATATCTACCTTCCCGAATACTAACATTCACACTTTAACACATAATGTTCTTTTTTTTGTTGTTGAATCTACCTGAAGACGGAAAATTACAAATTTATATGGTGGTTCCTAAATTGGATATCGGTTTTCAATTTGCTCCTGCATAAATTTCCGAAATTGTTGGTTTAGTAACTTGGATTTTAATGAACGAAAGTTGGAACAAAATGCTCAAATTGACACCAGAATTGGGATCCCGGCGCCAATCATCGGTCTGATACTGATTTGTGTTCATTATAATCACAAAATTGCCAATCTCGAAGTAGAAGTTCTCCATTTATATATATGGTGCAGTAAAATACCCATAGAGGTGTGTCACCTATCCCTTCAAAACGAATTAATCCAGGGTAAATAAACAAATCTGGTGTCTTATTGGTACTAGGAACAAGTTCGTTGTAGTCCAACGTTGTCTGGCCAATATCGCTCGAGCAAAAGCCCGAGCATCTAATTTACAGATCTTTAAGCGTCTCCATATCGGCGAGTAAAGATTAGTGCGTAAATCATTCATTAAATTATTTATGTTATAGTCACTAAGAATTTTATCCCTATACCTCAAAGTTTCTGACAGTATTTCAAGTTCTCTTCTATGTCCTCCACAAGTAGATTTATGATGCAATCATTTGTGGAAAGACTTACGTAAAAGTATTTCTAAAGATGATTGGGGTTGCAGAGAAACAACAGGCAGTATTACACGCAGTCGACCTGTTTCTTTCAGAGCAAATTAAATTGGACAAGTTATTGTTGCAGCGCAATACGGTTTAAAAAATCATCATTACTCAGTGCAAGATTCCCGATTTTTGATAGTCAGATAAAAAGGAGATCCTTCTTTTTGCATATCATCATATTTATTCACGAAATTCTGCAAGTCATCAACGATCAAGATAACTGCTGAAATTTGTTTCATGTTTATTTTCTCGTATTACAACTAATTCAATTAATTCCCACTGAGTTGGTGCCTTGAAAGTGAAAAGGAAACATTCCAATTGCGCGAATATCGATGAATTCAGTGCATACTGATACTAGAAAGATAGGAAATGAAATACATATATCAAGCCTGTTTTAAGAAAAGCGAGAGTCCTAAGAGCGGCCTTTATTTCTTCATCTCCTCGCCAAAGCGTTCCATCATATCAAGAGAGCTTTATTGTACCACGTTCTATTTCGTTGGAGGAAAGTTCGTTTTGGTTTCGTTTTCGCAACTTCCCACTTACTATCCATTACAAAATAGTAAGAAAGATAAGAATGGTAGGTTTTGTAATAAACTTTTGACTCTTTATGATTCTAAACTCACTCATCAAACTTTTTCTTTAAACGCGTTATATAGTTTGCATAACGATAAATGTTTTTATGAACAACGAAGGCTTATCCCAGTAAGTCATGGACAAGGATATGTCAGAATAAGACTTTTACGCGAGCTTTAACAAACTTTTTATGAGAATTACAATTATTACAAATTCGCGCGAGCGCGATCTATAGTGTATTAGAATTTAAGTACCCGGGTATTATATATCGCGCAAATCGCACTAGTTTTACTATTTTTAAATCGATCGATCATTGATAATCTCCGATTAAAAAAAAAAAAAAAATTCCTTTCCTTTATCCTTATCATTTATTTAGCAAAATGGTTAATATTGGAATTATTGGTGTAGGTTTAGTTGGGTCTGAATTAATTAATCAATTATCCACACATATTAATCGCAATAAAGCTTCAACCTTTAAAGTGATCGCTTTACTTAATTCCACAAAACAACTCCTAAGCAATTCGCACACGCCACTTGATTTATCAAATTGGAAAAATGATTTGAGCACCAAAGGCACAAAATCAGATTTAACATCATTTATCAATTATCTTAGTGAAGCTCCAACTCCATCAATAGTAGTTGACAATACCTCATCACAGGAAATAGCAGATTCCTATCCCCTTTTTATAGAAAAAGGTTTACATATCGTCACACCAAATAAAAAGGCTTTTAGTGGGGATTTAAAATTATATAAAGAAATCATAGAAAAGTCTAGGGAAAAAAAACGTTTGATATACCATGAAAGTACCGTAGGGGCAGGTTTACCTGTATTAAGCACTTTGACGGATTTAATAAGAACTGGTGATAAAGTAATTAAAATTGAAGGGATCTTTTCGGGAACTTTAAGTTATATTTTCAATGAATTCTCCAAGTTTGATGGTGAAAAAAAAAATTTTTCGGAAATTGTGAAGATTGCCAAAGAAAATGGTTATACTGTGGGTATTATGTTAAAAAGAAGACACGTTTATTTATTTATTTTTGTCAGATTAGACGGTAAATCTTATGTTTTATCCTATTCGTTGCCATTTAATTAGGAACCAGATCCGCGCGATGATTTGAACGGATTAGATGTTGCTCGTAAGGTAATAAATGAATAACATAACGATATCACTTTTCACCTTCACTATATCATTTTATAACTCTCTCTCTTTGTTTTTGTTTCACCAAGGTTGTTATTTTAGGTAGATTAGCAGGAAAAGATTTATCCTTAAAAACATTACCCGTTGAAAATGTAGTTCCCGAACCATTACGCACTTTATCAAGTGCCGCAGATTTCATGTCATCATTACCAAAATTTGATGAACATTTTGAAAAATTGAATGCTACTGCTAATAATAATCAACAAGTATTACGATATGTGGGTGTTATTGATCCAATTGGTGATAAAAGCGAAGTTAAATTGGTCAGGTATTTGTCAAAATTCATATTTTACTTTTGTATTTTGTTAATTCTGCTCAGGAAATGATACTAATTATTTTATAATTTTCTAAATTTTTTTTATTTTCATTGAAAATTAGTTTGCCATCTTCACATCCTTTTGCTTCACTTAAAGGTAGTGATAATATTATCGCTTTTACTACTCAAAGATTTCCTAATCCTTTGATTATTCAAGGAGCTGGTGCCGGAGCTGCTGTAACTGCATTTGGCATTTTCTCTGATTTATTTAAAATTTCCGATAGAATATTTTAAGTAACGTTGTTTGAAATTCATTAATAGAATATAAATAGTTATAAATAAAACAAAAATGATTTTATTTTTTACAAAATGTCTCTGTTATTTCTTTATATAATAAAAACAAAATAAAGCAAATAAATTACACGCCAACTGTAAAATAAAACTTCATATCATATTATTACACTAAATTCATATTTTTCCTCTAAAATTAATTACAGGCTTGCTTTTTCTTCATTTTCTTGCATTTGTTTAAATCCATCATCTTTTTTACAGCAGGATGTATTCCATAATCGGAAGGATAAGAAAGAAGCAAAAATTTGTTTAAATCCATTATCCTTTTGATCGCGGGATTTATTCCATAATCGGAAGGATAAGAAAGAAAATGCAACCATAAGGATGAACAAATAAACAAGATATATATAGAGATAGATCTTTTTCGCTCCATAAAGTTTAAGTCCAAATGGAATTTGGATAATTGCCAATAAAACTAAAGCTCTTCCGAACCACCTAAGAATAAAGAAGAAATAATTTATTATAATCATCATTATTAATTGGTTTTTTTTAAAAAAAAGGTATAGTAATTCAACTCACCAATGAAGTTTAGTCCACCATGGAACGTAAGCGCGATTTGGATCGAACAATTTATGATGAACTGCACCAATTGCTAATTGTATAAAAAGTCCAAGGAGAAGCAAGAATCCAATAACCTAAATGAGAGATGATAAGTACATAAGAAATAATGAAGTAAATAAAGTGATATCAATTATATTTTATACTTGATGATATTTATTTACCTTGTGAGGATCGTTAAATTCAAGTTTTCCAACAGCAACATAAGTTAAAACGCTACCAGTCACGATGATAGGGAAGGAGAGAAAGATTTGAATACCAACATGTAATTTAAACCATGTCGTTCGAAGAATATCTTTTGCAAATCGAGCAATGAAAATTGCACCGGGAATAATAACAAGCCAAGCGGCAAACATCAAAGAGCCTACATTTACATTTAAAAGTTATTAAAAAACAAATTGATGGCTCTCACCAAATAACTCGTGATATAGATGCTCACCATGTGCAATCATCATCTTATCATAACGTGACCATACAATTTCGCCTTTTCCAGTTCCATCCAACTTCAAGATGATTTCACCTTTGTGGTCGTGACGATTTAAATAAGCATTAACTTCAGAGCTTGCTGGAGATATCGAACTATAAGCATATGCAAACTTTTGTTTTTGTCTTTTAATATTGCTGCCTTTAACTTTGATAGGACGAGTAAATTCAATTATTAATTTATTATTTTCATTAATACCACTGGTATTGAGCAGTTGAAGATCATTTTGTCGGTTTGTAATATATGGTTGAATTCCAATATCTGCTCGACGTTGTGATAGAATTATTTGGCCTAATGGGTCAACCCAAGCGACCTTTTACATACAAAAAAAAAAAAAGATTATTCGAATTCATAATATTAAGTAACATAACAACATTCACCTCGTAACGATTACTTACCATCAAATAACCTTTCATACCATTGCCTAATCCTAAACCAACCCAACTGTAATTAGATAGTAAGAATTAGATGAATTTTCATAAATTATTTTTATTTAAATTCGATGATATTATGATAATTACCCGGCGTCGGAAGGAACTTCAAGACGGAATTGTGCAATTTGATCATGTTTGTGTACGGTTTTTGGTGAAAGCGTAATAGTAAAACAATAGTCGACTTCTTTAATACAATAATTGGTTTGACCGTAAACGACTATATGAAACAAAAAAGTTCCATCAAATGTTATTATTTCTTGAAGAATGTGCTTAACATAGACAAACGCCATTTAAATAACATATACCTTGAACAAGCGTAAAGTAAAGGACTACTGCACACCAAAGGTATCTCATTATTGTATAACAAAAATAGAATTATTATAACTACAGTCAAAATATTAAATAAAGAGACAACTAATTGAAGAAAAAAAAATAGGAAACTCGGACATTTATAATGAATTCCTTTTTTCTATTTATGGAAGGAAATCATTGTAATAATAAAAGTTTTTTTTCAAAAAAATAATATTTATAATTGGTCAAGTTATTTCTGGTTTTTGACAATTTGTGTTACAAATAGATTGATTATCAGGGGGTATCAGGAATAACATGAAAAAAAATCACAAACAAATAACTGAAAAAAGTTAATATATTTGTTAATCACATAATCACATTAAAATTCCTGTTCTATAAGACCATAAGTAAGTATTACATCAGATTCATAAATGGTAAAAAATTTTCCAACAATAGAATCAGCTCCATCTAATCTAACCGTATTTAAAGTAAAGCTAAATAATGTAGCCTGTCCAAAAAACATTGGAACAAATTGTCCAGTAAAATCATACAGAACTTGATTTTCGTCCATAATAACAAATTTATAATTTCCATCCAATTTATTTAATAGGACACTTATCTTTCCTGAAATTGTGATTTCTCCATCCGGCGGTTGAAAGAATGTCATTAAACCATTAACTTGTGTATTTGCTGTTGCGATTTTAGCTTTTGAAAAGAGAGCATAGCCAAGAAAAGCTGTTTCGGGAACTTTTCCACCTTCCTTTGGAGTTGGTTCACCTCCACCAGGAGCCTTTCCATCTCCATCTGGCGCACCTCCACCAGGAGCCTTTCCATCTCCATCTGGCGCACCTCCACCAGGGGCCTTTCCATCTCCTCCTCCTCCCCCGGGAGCCTTTCCATTTCCATTTCCTCCTCCTCCTCCGGGAGCTTTTCCATCTCCTCCGCCACCTCCACCAGGAGCCTTTCCATCTCCTCCTCCTCCTCCTCCTCCTCCGGGAGCCTTTCCATCTCCTCCGCCACCTCCGCCAGGAGCCTTACCATCTCCGTCTGGGGCACCTCCACCTGGAACTTTTCCATCACCTCCGTCAGGAGCTTTTCCACCTTCCTTTGGGGTTGGTTCACCTCCGTCTGGACTTTTCCCATCTTTTCCTCCTCCTTTTGGATTTCCTGATGGCGACTTATCGTTGTTCTTAGTTGTATCCCCATGCGATGCACAGGCTGATATAAAACTTAATAAAATTATAATGATAAATAAAATTCCATAAAACGATTTGCATTTATGAAATTTTGCCATAATTAATCTTGTCTACAAATAAAAATAAATAAATAAATTCTAAACAGATTCTATTAAAATTATTTGATTTTGGAATAACATCACCCAATTTGTAAGAATCCTTTTTTTTTTCGTTTTTTAAAACGAGTAAGGAGGTTCATTGTTCTCACAAAAACAGTCTCTTTTTATATTAAATTTTTTGAAATTGATTTACCCTTTTACGGAAAATGATCCTAATAAAGTTACTAACAGAAGTGCCTATGACAATCATTACCATTATTTTTCTGTATCACAAAATTTGGCATAGCTATAATTACTACCAGTTTATTAATAAATCATAGAACAAAGGTTGAAGAAATGAATGAAAACCAGGTTGGAAAATCCGATAATGCAAAAGGATTTTCCACCTAAAAATATTGAAAATTTATTAGAAAACCATCATCATCATCAGAAGATAATATTTTTAAGCATTGGGTATGCTAGAACTTTTTAATAAGATCAAATAGTGATTTAAACCAGTTGCAACCGAATTCAATTCGGACCGGGTACCCGAATCAAACCGTTTATTGTTGCAACCGATTAAACCGGTCGGATTTTTTTAAAAAAATTTTAAAACCGGTTTCGGAAATGAACTGGTTCTCTAGTCTAGACAATCGTTACCATTTATGGCTGTTAAATGGCATATCATTGTTTTTATTAAAAAAAAAAAAATAGAAAAAAAAAAGAAACAAAAAGCCGAGTAACCCTAATATACATAAAATATAATTTAAGTCTATAAATTATTACCATCGTTAGAATTGTTCGAATTATTTGAATCGTTTGAAGTGTTCGGATTAAGAACTTGTGGGGTATACCATCCACGGGAAGCATTGACCCCAAATACAACACCATCTTCCTCATCACTATCCATGGTATCAAGGATCTCTATGTTTTCTCTACTAGTTGTTTCTAAACCATGATCAGTCTGTGATGGTTGTACCAAAGCATTCGTCGTGTTATTATTATTATTAGATAAATTTGGATTTGATCTATTAATTACCACCAAAAATTTATTTTTTCCATTGTCCATACGTGATTTATTATGATTTAACGAATCATTTTCAATGTTTTTATCTTGTGCTATTATATTCTCCTCTTTATCTTCTCCTTCATAAATCCAACTCTTATTTAAGGAACTATGTGAATTATTCGAAAGTCTTTTCATTGCAAATTGTCTTGAATTTCTCGGTAAATAATATTCTGCCTTATCCCATTGTTGTGAATTTGCTGCAATGGTCGAACGAGATGATGATGATGATAATGATAAAGAAGGACTATCATCATCAACATAATTTTCAATATCCTTTTGTCTTTGACGTGCGTATATTTCAGGAAAGCTAGAACCATAAAGACTTTGATGACGTTGATGTGCTACTTGCAATGTTTGATTTTCGTCAGATGGAAGAATATTGATCGGAGATGATGATGATTGATAATGAGTTTTATGTGAACAGACGGGAGAACCTAATAACAAAAAAAAGCATTGGAATTTTTTTTAAATAAAAATAATAACAATACCGGAATAAATACCCATAGGTGATGATGATTCTTCTGATATAGATTTGGAGCGTTTACGAAGACTTCCTATGGTAAGGTTTCCAAGCGATAATGAAATCTTTCGAATTTTCTTTTTTAACCGATCCTAATATAAGAAAAAAGCAGAATGTAAATTTTATTCGGTATAGTTAATATCATAATAACTTACTTTCAAAGTATAGGCGCTTTTGACTTCTTCGTCAGATACTGTGACAGCTTTATATTTCTTTGGATCTGTTTCTTCGCGCCATTTCTCCGGATTTGGTATATCTGCCACAACCCATGGATGTTTCTAAATAAGTGTAAAATTGTAAATAATGATTTCTAACGAATAAAACCAAAGATTTTGTAGTTACCTTGACTTCTTCCAAAGTAATTCGTTTCTTTGGATCTTTTTCTAATAACTTCATAAGCAAATCCCTTAAATCACCCGATATTGGCATGCCTTCAGGAAATCCTAAAGGCTGCTTTGGTATAACATTGAAAAATAGCTCGAATTCTGTATCAGCTATAAAGGGACATTGACCGAAAATAAAGCAATAAAGAGTCACACCAAGTGCCCATATATCAATTGCTTTTGTAATAGGAGGTCGTTGTGTCCGCATATTGACGGAGTTATTTGATGATGTGTTTTCTGAGATAATCGAAGCAGGCGACATATCTTGTAACAAGTCACCTTAAAAAAAATATATATATTATTAATTTATAATAAACTCTAATTTTTATAAAAATTGCAAATCATGCTTATTATTTACCGGGAAAACATAATTCTGGAGCAAAAAAGGCTGGACTTCCTGCAGTTTTTGCTAAATCTGAGTCTTCCGAAGTTTTTGTCTGATTCTTTCCATGTAAAGTTAATGTTGATTTTTTTTGACTAAAATGTGATACACCAAAATCGGAAATTTTAACTACATTATCGCCCGTAAGCAACAGATTGGCTGGTTTTATATCACGATGTATAATTCCTTGATGGTGAACTTTATATGTAGAATTAATTAATAATAAATTATCACATCATGATAACTGAAAATAAAATTATTTTCACTTACGATATTCCAAACCTAACACAACATCTCTAAAAATTCGTCTTGCCCCCTCTACGCTCATAATAGGTCGATCGTATTCATCTTTCCATTGTATTTCTCCACCTTCCATGTATTCGATTACTAATTGAAAATTCCAATTCGAAATAAATATGAATTATATAGAATGAAATAATTAATTATTTATTAAAAAAAAGTAAAAATAATATAATATAATATAAGAAATTAAATCTTTAAATTATTTTTTTTAAAAAAAAATTAAAACTCTTCTCTAAGCTTTCTACAAAACACAATGTTTCCTACCCTGCTTGCGTTTCAATCCAACAATCAAACATACCCATATAAATCTTCCTGCTCATCGGATCATCAATAACTTCTTTTAATCTTACGACGTGTGGGTGGATACATTTTTTCAGTATCGCAATTTCTTTTCGAATTTTTTGTTCGTTTGTAAGATCGTTACGTTGTCCTAAACGACGACGAGTAACCCGATCAACTATTTTTATAGCCTATATAATATATATATAAATCAAATTAACTTTATATATATAAATCCAATAATTTATAAGCAAATCCTTATTAAATTACGTATTATGATCGATGATATTATTTATTACAATGGTTTTTTTTAATACCAATACTAAAATTATCATTTTTTTTTTTGAATATATAATAATTTATATTTTAAATGTTACTGAAATTTTCGTCCATACTATCCATATTAATCAAATTAAATACTCACAACCCATTCACCTAAATCCAAATCCTTTCCTAACTTTACTTTTCCGTGCACTCCTCTGCCTAATTCTCTAACTAGCATATACTTGTTAATCATCTTATTTCCTGTATTAGGGTCATAGTCCTTGTACATAGTGTGCGTCTCTTTAACTTCTATAGAAGGGGTAAAACTATGACGGTGAACTAATTTATCTTTTTTACTGTAAGCGTTGCCATAAGAACTAAGTTGCTGTGAAGATTGGCGACTATGATTAGAATGTGAGCCAAAGAACGAAAATAGAGATTTAGAAGTTATGGGTGATGAAACTGATTTATTACTGTCGCCTTTAGTTGATAAAGTAGATTCTGACATTTTGTTAACTTTTTACTATAAAAAAAAATATACCAAGACGCGATGGAATATTAACACGCATAATTCAGACTATATTTTCAACCTGGTGCATGAAGATCATGAGTCAATCAGAGAGTTGATCACTTATTAGTTTCGGGATATGTTGCATTGAGATCCAAACAGGAATACAATAATTTTTTGTATTAATTATATAAAACTTTATTTATTATTTGTTAAATATTTTGCTAAATTTAAATTGGTTTAAAACATGCTCCTCTTTTGGCAGACTATTAGCCTGGAAGCCTTCCCATTATAACTTTCATATGGAATTGATTTTATTTTATGAACTTTCGGATACCTATTATAGAAAAAGGTCAATGTGTTTTTTAAACGTTTTCTACATTATTTATAAAATAAAATAAAATAAAATTTATAGGAATTAAAATAAGTAATAAGTTAATAAAATTATTCAACAAACTAAACATGTTAAATCAACAATTAATTCAACCAATTGCTTGGATAAGGCTTTTCAGCATGATTTACAATTACCAAGCAAATATAAAGGTAAGTTTCAAAGTTTAATTATAAATTTAAAAAATCGGCATATCAAAATATTTATATTATTTAATACATTATTAGAAATACCAATTCGTTACCACTAATTCAAGCATTTTATTTTAAAGAATTTAAAGGATACAATTGATTGAAATGTTCTTATAAAAAATACTTTTAATAATTGTTTAATGTCAATAGAAATGTAGATACTATTCCTTAAATAATTAATATAAAATTATTCATTAAAAATTATAATAAAAATTAAGATATTTTGATATCTAGTGATCATAAAAACATAAAATTTAACTTATTAAATTCATTTAATTATGATATATCTAATAAACTATAATTATATTTCTAGTATCAAATTATATTATTTAAATCTTTAAAATAATTTTTATCTAATAATTGCAGAAAAATATAATTTAGTTTATTAGATTTTTCTTATAAAAAGTTTAAAAGGTGATATTTTTATATTTTTAAAATTTATAGATAGTAAGATATTCTGATATAAATAATTAGAATATTTTTATAATAATTCATTATTTTTTATTCTTAAAAAATTATCAATTCCTTAGAAAACATCATAAAATTTATTATAAAATTTATAAAATTATTATTATATTAATAAATTATTTTAAAAATATTTAAAATGATTTTAATTAAAAAGTAAAATTGCTTTTAAATTTATAACAAAACTATTAAAGGAATTAATATTACTTTTTATTATAATCAATATGATAAATAAATTATCTGATAATTTAAACTTTAATTAATATATATCTAAAATTATAACATATTATAGATATAAGTAACTATACAATAATTATAAATATTTTTCTACCATTATTATTTATTTGATTAATATATAATTTATAAAATATAAAATATGAATTTTTATTATTAGAAATTATAGTATATGGTATTAATAGATTACAATATAATCTAGATAATTAATTTACAAAATTAATCTATAAATTGATCTATATATATTAATGCTTTGATGAAACTGAAACCTATTTATAAAATAAATCTCTAAAACTTGACAAAAGTGATTTTATTATTATTATTAATTCTAAAATCCCCAAAATCTCTGAAACTTGATAAATTTATCAAAACTTCTGAAATTAAAAAGAAATTAATCAAATTCTAAATACATATTTTATTACCTTTTATAATGTATAGTTTTTGATGATGATTAATTTCTTTATGTCAGAAAAATATCAAACTGAACTTTATATTTTACCTTTAGTAATAACTAAACAAAAAAGAATTCTAGTAATAAATCAAAGTCTGATATATAGAAAACTTATATTAAATAAAAATGAAAAGTTTAGAAGATAATTATGAGGTTTCTATTTATTTCATAATTCTTTTTAATATAAAGATTCACTTCAAAATATAGAAAAATATTTAGCTAATGATTGTCTAAAAGTTAAAATAGAAGTAAAACAATTATTTTTAAACTAAATTACTGCAAAAGTCAAATCTTTAATATATAATTGACAAGCTTTAAATAAAAAGTAAAAATATAATAATAAAAACACTTTATAAACAAAAATAATAAATTCATCTCCTTTAATATGAAATTCATTATTTGTTAATTATGTGAAATTAATGTTTAAATGTTATAAATTGTTTATTAAAGATTCTAAAAAACTATAATTTTTGGATGAAGTATTTGATGAATTCTATAAAATTAGTGAATTATCATGCAAATAGTATTAAAATTGGACCTGTTTAAGACAAATTCTAAAAGTAGAAGCTATAAGATTATTCTGGTTGATTAATTTTATAAAATAATCATATTTTGCTTGCATTTGAACATCATAGAACTCTCTATAAGTATATATCAGATTATGTTTAAAGATACTATTTAGTAGATATTTGTTTATTCTAAGTTAATTTTGATAATAGATCTGATTAGTGTGTAGAGTTTATTGTACTTATCTTTAAAAAGAAAGTTAATTGTGATCTATATTCTAATCTTGGAATAAGAATAATGTTATTAAGATATAAAACTATTTTATCAGTCATTGGTTTGAATCTAATTTTAAGAACGAAATCATTAATGATATCTTTAATTGGTTAATAATAAACTTTTGTTATTGTTGATACATATTCATACACCTAAGTATCTAACTGATTCAGATCTATAATAAGTTAGTATACTGATCGATTTTTTTGTAGTAAACAAATTCAAATTAATATTATAATTTTGATTAGAAAGCATTGAAATTACAAAAGATTTTTCTAAGTTTACTCAAATGTCATTTAATTGGTAGAAAGTATTAGCTATATCAATAATTTTTTTGATTAGAAGTATCATTTGAAATCCAAGTAGTATTATCCATATATACTATATCTATAATGTTAATAGAATCAGTTTACTAAATGAATGAAAGTATTTAGATTAGAAAACTAAGTTTGAGACATATTGTAACCTAAATTTGATTGTTAGATTTTATATAGTAAAGGATTATAATAGATGATTCATAAAAGTGGAAAAATAATTTTACCTTACCAATATCAACTAGTATATTGTATTCTAGTGATAATTCATATTGTGTATAAACTCTATTTTTTCTGTTTAAGAAAAGATTAGTTATAATATTGATAAAGTTAGTGGGAATTTTTAAACAAGACATAGCTTTTTGTAGCATATAAATAAATGTTCACTCTATCATATGCTTTAAACTTACTTATCTTAAAAGAGAACAAATAAATTTTGAGTAAGAGTTTAATTCTTTAGGAGTTTATTTTATCAAACATCTAATCTAGCTGATTCAAGTATATTGTTGATTATATGTAATAGATCTATAATTGAGTTGTAAGAAAGATTAGCAAAGTTTAAACCTTTTAGAATATTATATTCAATACAAATTTTTGATAGTTGATTCATTAGAAATTTGACATAAATTTTTAGACTGTTTTTAAAAGAGTGATTGGTCTAGTATTATTGAGATCACATTGTTATGACTTGGGTTTAGAAATAGAATAAATATAAGCAAGTTTCTATCCTGCAGAAATATTTTGTAAAATTATATAAATATGAAAATTTTGAAAAGCAATTTAAAAGTATCAATGTTGAAATATTTTATGAATTCATAAGTGATGCCTGATGAACTAGCAGCTTTATCACTAAAAAAAGAGTTAATCAGTTGGATCCATTCATTGAAGTTAGAAAGGTCCAATCATGAGAAATAGTAATTTTCATCAATATAATGTAAACCATTGTAATTTTGTTACCAAAGGTTTTAAAATAGATGTGATTCTTTTTTTAAGTTTTTTGAATTAGCTATTATTTGAAATGAGTATTGGTATGAACTTTAGAAAGGTCTAGTTTCAAATAAGGTTGTTATTGATCATCTTTAATGAGAATTCTATCTAGTATAATTGATGTTTTTCTTCTTTCTAGACAGGAATCAATCATTATAGTCAAACCTCTATATAACGATATATCAGAACATATAGAATTTTTTTTTAAAAATATTGTTATATCAAATTATACCGATATTTATATGACCTCAAGTATAGTGGGTAAATAACATTTTATCGGTATATAAAATTTTTAATAGTATATCGGTATATAGAATATTGGTATATAAAAGTCCGAATGTATTAATAAATTATCAGTGAAGTTATTTATTCATTGATATATAAATAAAGTAATACATTATTAGTCTTCTATTTTGTCAAGAAGTTTAATTTTTAATCTATATAATAATGGTTTTTTTGAGATGTGTTAAAGATATTGGGAATGATTTATTATTATATGCTAATTTAATGTCTTAAATAAGAATTTTTTGATCAATTAAGAGATTAATAATATTAATATATTTGTTTTGATTTATTATATTGAAATGTGTATTTTAATTGAAATTTTTATAACACTGATGATAAAATTTGTTGATTTTGTTAAGAGATTTGTAAGAAGATTGGTGATTGTAAAGGAAATTGTTAAATCTTTGATTAGAGGTAATATGTTTAAGAAAAGTGTTTTTAGCTACTTGAATAATCATACAGCTAAAAGAATTCCAAATAGAATTAAGATCATTATGAGAAAAAGTTTGGGAATTTAAATTGAGAGATCATAGTAAAGGATCTTGAGAAATTAAATTATCTAGTTTTGCTAAAAATTTGTTTCATATTTCTTTAGACGTTTGATCATACAAAAATTTAGTTTTAGTCATTTTTTCTGTTTGAGTGAAGCGTTTGATTTTTAATGAAATATATTATTTTTATTAAAGAAAGAAATTAATGGAGTATGATCAGATTTGTAATTATATGAGTAAGAATTTAAAAAAGTAAAAAAGATAAGGTTGTGTATAAGGAAAGAAGAGAAAAAAAGGTATTTGAGGAAAGAGGTAGAATCTGAAGAAAAAAGATTAATAGATAAAGGTGATTAAAAAGTTTTAAATTGTTCATTAAGCCTAGATTTTTTGTTGGATGAGGAAATACTAGTA